TTGCCCATCCCACCGCAACCTTCGCTCCAGATCTCAACCGACAATGTCGATGCGCATGACACCAGTGCCCTCCTGAATAACGGCGGAGTCTCGCCTACCTCCCTTCGCTCGGCTGCCTCCTCCGAAGCCAGAGACTACGAAAGTCGGCCGACATCGCCGCATAACTTTTCCTCTCCTGCGTCCAAGATGGCCGATTCCATGTCCAATTCGAATTACCTGGCTGTACCGGGAACAAGATCTCGTGGAAATTCGTTGGAGTCGCAGGACTCGAATCAATCGTCCAGCTCGTACGGAGGAGATACATACGCACCGACTGCATCGCATGGATCCAACACAGACTTGACGCAGAACACGATTGTGAACGATGAGGATGCCCTGAAGCCCGACCCAGGCCGGGAAGCTGAGTTCGAAGTGGAAGACAACAAATTCGCCTTCTCGCCTGGCCAGCTGAACAAGCTTTTAAATCCGAAGAGCCTTGGAGCCTTGCATGCTCTCGGCGGGCTTCGTGGAATTGAGAAAGGACTGCGCACTGACGCTCGCAGTGGATTAAGCTTAGACGAGAACGAACTGGACGGTGTTGTGAGCTTTAAAGATGCCACGGCCTCGCAGACCACCCAGGCCACGCCCAAGTCCTCTTCTCCCTCGCCTCAGCATCACACATCAGAGGGATCGAACGCCGCGAAGCCCTCCGACGGTTCGTTTACGGATCGGATCCGCGTCTATGGGACGAATAAACTTCCAGAAAGGAAGGCCAAAAGTTTCTTGGAGTTGGCCTGGATCGCATATAATGACAAGGTGCTGATCTTGCTGACGATAGCTGCCATCATATCCCTTGCTTTGGGCATCTACCAATCTGTGACAGCCACCGGCAAAGAGGCCCGAGTGCAATGGGTTGAAGGCGTTGCAATCATTGTGGCTATTCTGATTGTCGTCATTGTAGGAGCTGCGAATGACTGGCAAAAAGAACGTCAGTTCGTCAAGTTGAATAAGAAGAAGGATGACCGCCTAGTCAAGGTGATCCGCTCCGGAAAGACCTCAGAGATCTCGGTGCATGATGTCCTTGTGGGCGATGTCATGCATCTAGAGCCCGGTGATATGATTCCGGTAGACGGGATCTTCATCGATGGCCACAATGTCAAATGCGACGAGTCCTCCGCTACTGGCGAGTCGGATGTTCTTCGGAAAATGTCTGCCGACGAAGTATACCGCGCCATCGAGCAACACGATAACGTCTCCAAGCATGACCCGTTCATCGTTTCCGGTGCAAAGGTTTCTGAAGGTGTGGGAACATTCCTGGTCACTGCGGTTGGTGTCAATTCGACCTACGGAAAGACAATGATGTCGCTTCAAGACGAGGGCCAAACGACTCCACTGCAGTCTAAGTTGAATGTACTCGCCGAGTACATTGCGAAACTTGGTCTCGCCTCTGGATTGCTCCTATTCGTTGTTCTTTTCATCAAGTTCCTCGCACAGTTGAAAGACATGGGAGGTGCCTCCGACAAGGGTCAGGCTTTCTTGCAGATCTTCATTGTTGCTGTGACTGTAATTGTTGTTGCTGTCCCGGAAGGTTTGCCGCTCGCGGTCACTCTTGCGCTTGCCTTCGCTACTACTCGAATGCTCAAGGATAACAACCTTGTACGATTGCTGAGAGCATGTGAGACCATGGGCAACGCGACCACTATCTGCTCCGATAAGACCGGTACCTTGACAGAAAACAAGATGACTGCTGTCGCTGCCACTCTGGGTAAGAACCTCCGCTTTGGCGATAAATCTTCAGGGCCAGCCCTCCGTGCGGACGATGACCGAGGCCGGGACCCGGTGACCACCGTCTCTCCCTCGGAATTCTCTTCCAGCCTTTCTGGGCCAGCCAAGGACTTGTTGATCAAATCGATTGCAATCAACTCAACGGCATTCGAAGGAGAGCAGGATGGTACCGCAACCTTTGTCGGCTCTAAGACCGAGACAGCACTCTTGGGATTCGCTCGGACGTACCTAGGAATGGGCTCAGTTAGTGAAGCACGGGACAACGCGACTATTGTGCAGATGGTACCTTTCGATTCTGGACGTAAGTGCATGGCCGTGGTCATCAAGATGGAGAATGGAAAGTATCGGATGTTGGTCAAGGGCGCATCAGAAATTCTGGTGGACCGTGCGACCAGAATTGTCAGTGATGCGAGGAAAGATCTTACCGAAGTGTCCATGTCAGATGAGGACCGGTCTGTTATGGACAAACTCATTGACCACTATGCCTCTCATTCGTTGCGGACGATTGGTTTGGTTTATCGTGATTTCGACCAGTGGCCTCCGCGGGGTGCAGCCACCCAGGAAGAAGATCGCTCACTCGTTGCCTTTGATTCAGTCTTCAAGGATATGGTCATACTAGGCGTTTTCGGTATCCAGGACCCGTTGCGCCCAGGCGTAACAGAATCGGTGCATCAATGTCAACGTGCGGGCGTTTTCGTGCGGATGGTGACTGGTGACAACATTACGACTGCAAAGGCTATCGCTCAAGAGTGCGGAATCTTCACGCCAGGAGGAATCGCCATTGAGGGGCCCAAATTTCGTCAATTGAGCAGTCGACAGATGACCCAGATCATTCCTCGATTGCAAGTATTAGCCCGATCGAGTCCCGATGACAAGAAGATCCTGGTGACTCAGCTTAAGAAGCTTGGTGAAACTGTCGCAGTGACTGGTGATGGTACCAATGATGCACAGGCTCTCAAGACCGCTGATGTTGGTTTCTCCATGGGTATTTCCGGTACTGAGGTTGCGAAGGAAGCTTCCGACATCATCCTGATGGACGACAACTTCACCTCCATCATCAAGGCTATGGCTTGGGGCAGGACTGTCAACGATGCTGTCAAAAAGTTCTTGCAGGTACAGTATCCCCTTGGCTTAGTAATAACCGCAAGCAGAAGCTAATCGTCACTAGTTCCAACTCACTGTTAACGTGACAGCGGTCCTGCTTACATTTATCTCTGCTGTCGCAAGCGGTGACGAAGAGTCGGTCTTGACCGCGGTGCAGCTTCTCTGGGTCAACCTCATTATGGACACTTTCGCTGCTCTCGCTCTGGCCACGGATCCGCCTTCTCCTCATGTTCTCGACCGCAGGCCCGAGCCAAAGTCCGCGCCTCTCATAACCCCAACCATGTGGAAGATGATCATCGGACAGAGTATCTATCAGTTGGTCGTCACCCTTGTCTTGAACTTCGCTGGAAATTCGATCTTCCATTACCACACAGAGGAGGACACTTCGCACATGCAAACGGTCGTGTTCAACACGTTCGTCTGGATGCAGATCTTCAACCAGTGGAACTCTCGCCGTCTTGATAACAATCTTAATATTTTCGAAGGGATGTTCAAGAACGCATGGTTTATTGGGATTCAGTTGATTATCATTGGAGGACAGATTCTCATTATCTTCGTTGGTGGTCAAGCATTCTCGGTTGTGCGGCTCAATGGGCCTCAATGGGGCGTGTCTCTGGTCTTGGGAGTCATCTCCCTTCCAGTAGGTGTGATCATCCGCTTGATACCAGATGCTCTCATTGCCAGGCTTATCCCCACCTTCTGGCACCGCAAGAAGGGTCCTGAGCTTTGGGTCTCTGACGAGGATCGCCGCTTCGAGTGGAATCCTGCTCTAGAGGAGATCCGGGACCAGTTGAAGTTCCTTAAGACTGTTCGCGGAGGCCGTCTTCGGCACTTGAAGCACAAGCTACAACACCCCGAAGAACTTCTCCCCAGATCGCGAAGCGGATCACGGTCTTCCAGATCTCGAGAGAACTCGATCCCTGGAACACCTGTGGAGAACAATAGTGACAGCACTCCGCCCATGCCAGCAACTCCGGAATCACGATCCAGACGACGCACACGGTCTCGCTCCAATTCAGCATTCGGGCCAGCAGCTGCCATGGCCGGTGTTGTGGCGGGTAGTATTGCAGGCTGGTCCCCAATCGAACGAACGCAGGGAGATGGCGAGCCTTTCAGGATTCAGGCCGACAGCCCCCACGGAGGCCTAGACAAGCAACAGGGCATCGAGATTCATCCGGACACTGCTGCGGATGACCAAATCGTGGGCAACTTCAAGGGCCCCTCGAAGACACCTCCGAGCCAGAACCCTGATCTTTTACCCCATTTTGATCATGTCCCGCCTGAGCGTGCGCCATCCAGCCGCAGCCGACGGTCTACGTCGCGTCAGTCTCAATCCAGTCAAAGCCATGTCTGAGCGTCGCACGCTATATTACCTGTGCAATACCAGATTCTGCTGTCCTACTTCACTTCAATGATATCCACGCTCAGTTCATTCTCGCCTGTGTATACTTATTCCCTCTTCCTCATACCCTGTTGTCATTCGAGATTCGTTGTCTTGCCCACGCCGAACTTTGCTGTTTTGTCAGTCTTGAACTTGATATGCGTACTTTCTGCAGAGGTCCCTCTAACCTTGCTTTACCTGTCTGTGTCATAGCATCGTTGTTTTCATAATTCCAATCATATCCCAGGGAAAGGTGTCTCGGTCTCGGCGTACGTGGCTTTCAAAAGGGGATTGGCTGTTATTCATTTTTCACTTCGTTTGTTTGTTAGACACTCCTTCCTCTCGCATAGGGATGGGCGGCGACCTGAGCGACAAAAAGGGCAAAAATATTCTAATGGGTTTTGTGTTTCCAGTTTTCAAAGATAGCCTAGCTTACCTTACCTTGTACATAGTGTACTTTTGCTGCTCAGTGGTATGTCTATATGCCCTGCTTGATTTCTACTGCTTGCAAGCAGGGCGAGGGAGAATCCAATGGATGATCTACTACAGTTCTCATGGTTTTCATGTTGAAATCACTATACTTAGGCCATCGTTCGTATGTCTTTGTAGGGTTTTCGACACCAAAATCTATGCACACCGAAATCGACAGAAAGATATAAACTTGCTTACATACTAGCCCGCCAGAAGTAATCACCATAGACGGCATCCACCAAGCCACCGCCATCAACGTATCTTACATCTCACCAGGTGGTCAGCGGCCCATGAACCTGATCTCCAGCAGTCTCAAAGGCGGGAAAGCCAAGGCGGTAAGGCCCATCCCTAGCCAAATCCCCAAATCGCATCCCTCCGCAATCGCTGCCGCCACGGGGCCTGTAAAATAAGCTTGATCCTGATCAAAGTCATCAGCAATTACTGAACTTGACAATGTCATGCACAGAGGCAGGGTTGGGGAGAGAGAGAGGGTGAGGTACCATGCCAACAATAGCTCCTATCCAACCGACGAGAAAAGCGATACTGGCCGCAATGCCCACGGGAAGTCTGAGTCGATCGTTCCACGCGTCCCAGTCATAGCCCCGGCCGCGATTGAAGAGGAGGTCCTCTTGCGCCACGATTGTGAACCAGATCACCGCCCAGTATCCGATCAGCGGCATCACGCTGCGGAAGATGTCGTACAGGGAGTCTCGACCGCCGATGGCACACGAGGCGTACACCAACGTGCTGGCGGTGGTGTAGACGGGGCGCGGGAATCTGCGCCAGACATTGCCCAGCATCTGGAAATTCATCCCCGTCGAGTACGACGCTGGCGCGTTGTTGGAGACGATCGTCAGGACGTTGATCACGGCACACAGCCTCCCCAGGGGCCCCAGTCGATCGTACCCGGCCATCAGCAGGCTTCCCGGCGTACCGTCGTAGATCGACCTCCACCGGGCACTGTGTGCCACCCCACTACCCAGACCCGCACCCAGAAGCAAGGTCACGATGAACGCGAGGCTGGCGCCGATGGTCGTGACTGTCCAGATCTTCCATCGCTTGATATCCGGCGAGTAGTACACGTGATAGTCGGCCGCGACGGGCACCCACGACAGGGGAATCGATAGACAGAGCGAGAAGAACGCCAGCCGTTTCGCGTTGATCTGCGTGGTCGTTCCGACTGACGGGCTGTCGAAGTCGAACTGAGGGCCGGCCGACCCGGTGAGGAGCGAAAAGACGATCAACTGTGGGAACCATGCATACCTGTGGGGGGTTTGCGAGTATGAATGTCAGTCGGGTGGGCACTCGGAGATGTCAAGGGTAATCGATCCCTTACCTCTCATAGTACTGGAAGATCTGCATCCCGAAGGTGGCCATCGTCCAACTCGCCAATGCTACGATGACGATTCCAACGATCACTGATACACCCCCGCCTGATAGCTTGGATAGTAGTTGGCCTCCTACCGTCGCGCTCATCATCCCGGTGCCCAAACATGAGAGCACATTCAATACGCAGCATACTTTAGTGGGGTAATACCCCATGAAGAACCGGGACACGATCTGAGGAAGAGGAGATGTGAGTCATCTGGATTGATGGTGGGGAGGTTTTCCAAACAGTGCATTATTTCTGATATCGCTCAAGGGGTATGTCATACCAGTGTGCGATTCCCACTTTGCGGACCCCAGATACTCATATATCCAATCGCCAGACTCCCCAGTAGGGTGCTGAATATCACACACAGCGCACAATCGGTGAAGCTCAGCTTCATGACCAGCGTTCCTAGCGATCCGGTGATCGTGTTATTCATTGCCATCCCCATGCTCAGCCACGTGAGGAACATCTCGAACGATGTAAACTTGGTGTTCTTCATTCGTTCCTCCAGCGGTACCGGCTCGATGCCTCGGGTCTCGAGCCCTTTTATGCTCCTCGTCCATCGTTGATATCTCGACTCGCGTTTATCCGGGAAGGGTCTTTCGGCTCCAGATTCGTCATGTGTCACTGTTACACTCGTCTGCAGAGAAGAACATGCTCCCTGCTTTTCGATCTCAGGTTCCATTGGAGGAGGCTTCGGAGGATTGCCTCTCTGGTGCGTGCGAAGGGGATGCCGTCTTTCGCACAGCCTTCGTTTTCGCTTTTTTCCGCAACAACAATAACAAGTCGGGTACAACCAGGAACCAACCCCAGTATATAAGTGATCTTCGGAGACAAAACCACAATCAGAAGCAGGATCAACGGCAGACACAGCAGGCGGGTGCAACTTCACCTTTTTTTCCCCTTTACCCCCGGGCAGGTTACTAGACTGACATCACCCTTTGTCCTTGGTCGTGCAACCCCGTCCGCGCTACTTCCTCTATCGACATTCCACAACCCTCCCGCTAGAGCGAGGGCCCTGTCCTCACCCTCCATAGCCTGATTAGAGGGTTGCGTTACACCCGCTCACCCTCCCAGCTCTATACTCTTCAGGAGACGAAGGGGTTAGGTATCCATGAGGAACATCAAAGAAGAGCCAAACCCTGAGAAAGGGTATGCCTCGAGCCCCTTTCTACGCATTACCATCGCGTGTGTGAATGTCACCATCCTTTTTTTCTCTTGCTTTCTGATCTCATAGGCTGAAGGGTGGTGGGTTCTTTTCTTCGCAACAGAGAAAGTCATGTGGCTGGAGGGTGACCACATACCATTGTTGATGTTGCCATTTTAAGCTCTACTATACATTCCAACGGAATGCTCCAACCATGTAAGGGGAAGGAGCCATTACACCGTGATCATGGAAAAGCAACAAACCTGTTTGGCTTTTCTTATGAGTAGCAGGTGCATCTCTCTTATGGGGTATTTTTAATACAGCGTGGAAGATCATCGATTTGCACCCTAATCGTGGGGGAAAAATCAGCCGGAAAGGTGGGGTTTTATTTTTGCTGGATCATGAATGGAGAATCGGGAGGTATGGAAGATGAGCTCATGGTTTTCTTTTGTCTCTCTTTTGAGAGGGACTCACATGGGCGTTTGACGTATTTCTTCGGGTTATCGCCCACATACAAACGGTTGGTTGATCGCGTGAGGCCAGCTGGGGCATCGGATCACTATGCTGCGTCAGGCTGGACAACCTGTGCATACTCTGATATGGACTCGCCAAGTCCTGTCTGTACTGTGAATAAATGTTCCGGGGATGCATCCTCGTTTTGTGGGAAATTGTGTCCCTGCTCTCTGCTTTCTACTCGCGTGCTTTCTCGACCATTGTCCCCAGAAATGCCAAACTCTTAATTGTCGGCCCTGAGCTGATATTTCAGCCTCGTCATTGGATCTTGAAGTGCTCTATAGTATGTGTCTATCTACCTAGAGCGGGGTCTTTATATGTTATAAGCTCCAATTTGTCAGTTGTACAAGGCTAGTCGTCGAGAGGAGCCACTCTAAGCTGGTGCAGCGCACATCAGGCGACGCACAAACTCTCTAGCAGTTACTTTCGGGTTGAACAGGAAAGCCGTCCGTGTCTAAAAGCTGGTAATACTATGATTGTTTCGCATCAAGGAAAGTAGCTTGCTTTCACTGAGTGGGACGGAAATATGGAGGCATCACCAGTATCTATTACCACGACGCAGGGGGAGGGTTCGCAATGTGAAGGAAGCTCACCGCCTCGACCCGCAGGCGGACGCGGAAACTGAAGATGCGGCCACTAACTTACCTACAATTACTATTGCCCCAGACCCGTGACCCCGGATAATCCATGGAACTCCCATCGGTACTTATCCGCCACGGTACCCGCTAATCTATCATCCCTCGGAGTCTGTGCGGAGTCTCTACCAAGGTTATTTTAGACTTGACATTTCCATATCATATCACTGTAACGAGCCTCTGTCAGAGCAATCGAGCAGAGATTGCGAGCCGGCCATTGGAAAACCGATGGCGAATGCTACGGAGAACTCTTCCGAGTTCAAGGGGCCGTCGCTGTTCTCTTCAGACGCTTCGTCTCATCCCTACGTGACATATTTCATTCTCGCCATAACTTCGTATGTCACTCTGGTGAATCTTCTGCGATTCCGCAAAGTGAAATGGATGCACAAGCGATACAACTATCCCACGCGCGAGTCCTTCGCTCGCATGACCGATGATGACGCGTGGGCGATTCAGAAAACCATGCTAGAGCAGGAATTTCCTTTCTTTTACCTGAAGTCCCTCCAATTCGCACTATTCCGAGTTAGTGTTCTTTTTTCTTTCTTGGTTGCGGTATCCTGTGCCATCTTAGACCACTGACAGCCCCCCGGTACAGACCTACGGCATCCCGACCATCTCTAAGCTGCTCGCGGGCACGGCACAGTTCTCGAAGCCGGAGACCTCCCTGAAGCGCTACGCTGACACGGTTGTCTTGATCCAGGAGTTTATGGGCAATGCTCCATCGTCTGAACGTGCTCGCATCGCCATTGCGCGCACCCGCTGGATGCACAGTGGGTATCGCGCCTCGGGTAAGATCCTCGAGGATGACATGCTGTACACGCTAGCCCTTTTCGCCGTGCAGCCCGTCCGATTCCTGGAGAAATACGAATGGCGAGGCGCGACTGACCTGGAGAAATGTGCCATGGGTACCTTCTGGAAAAGCGTTGGCGATAACCTCAACATCAGCTATGATGCCCTGCCGTCAGGCAAGGATGGATTTCAGGACGGCTTGCTTTGGTTGGAGGAGGTGATGGCCTGGGCTGATGCCTACGAAGCGAAGTGCATGGTACCCCATGTCAAGAACCGAGAAACGGCCGACCAGACCACGGAAGTGCTGTTGTACATGGTCCCTGAAGCGTTCAAGCATGTTGGCCTGAAGTTTGTGTCCTATATGATGGACGATCGTCTGCGAAAAGCTATGATGTAGGTTTCCCATTCGGCCTCCTGGGCGCTCCTGTGCTACCTCAAGACTCGCGACATTATCTGAGTAACGTCACTGACCCGGTTGGATGTTACTTTCAGGTACGACCCGCCTCCGACAGCATATGCGCGGGTCTTCGCGGGCTTACTGGCCGTGCGCCGGTTTGCGATGCGCCACCTCGCTCTTCCCCGGCCGTATATCTTGCGGTATAAGACTTTCACGGATGTGGACGAGCATGGCCGCATCTTCTCCACGGAATGGGATGCAGCGCCTTACTACGCGAAACCCACGTTGCGGAACCGCTGGGGCCCAGTCGCCTGGTTGACCTGGGCTTTCGGCCGGCCTTTACCTGGTGGCGAGGGGAAGAAGTATTATCCGCAGGGCTACTACGTCCCTGATGTAGGCCCGAAGTACTTTGAAGGACGGGGCCGGAAAGATCTGCAGCAGATTACAAAGGAGTTGGAGACTTCGCGGAGGGGACAGTGTCCTTTCATCTAAGACACTCTAGCCAATGAAAGAACTGACCTTCTGGAGTTCTGATTACAGCTCTGGAATTGACAGTATTCGGCCTGATTGTTTGGTTTCAACTTCCAGGCGGTTGTGACGAATATCAAAAATTGTTCATGTCTATCACTCACCTCAGTATCAAAAACGATAAATCTGTTATACTTTCCAACCAGTACGATGTCTGAACTCTAGATCAGCAGCAACTTGCCCGACCCCCCTAGCGCGAGTGGAAATTATCCAAGAGCGCAAACTCCTTCGCAACCTCCCAGATGGCTTCGATCTGCCTCACAACCTCATCTTCGAGGGGGCCCTTCTCCAGGGCCGTCAGAGTCTGATCCGACTGCTCGACACCACTCGCCCCCGCAATAATAGCATCACCAAGCTCCCTGTCCAACGCGGAATGATACGCCACCCACCGGTACGCCAACTCTGCCTTGGAGATTCCCGCCTTCTCCGCGACCTCGTTCCAGGTGTCCAGGACTCTCAACATCTTCGGCTTCATGTACAGACTCCGATAGACCTTTCCGAACTCGGAGTCCGGATCCCAGCGGCCGCCGGACGAGCTCGCCTGCTCGCTTGCGTAGAACCGGATGCCATACTCGCGCAGCAAGGGGAAGAGGCTCGACTCGATGAGACGTTAGATGGCAGTATAGTTCCCCTGGTAGACGGTCGGGCGCACGTAGTCGTGTTCCTGACAGAGGCGGAGGACTTCTTTGTGAAGTTCGACAGGCCGAAGTGCTTGAACTTGCCGGCGTGGTAGAGGTCGTTGATGCCGGCGAGAGTGGGCTCGATGGGGGGCCTTTAACTAGTGAAGGGAAATGTCGTCCATTGACAAATGTCTTGCTGTCATGAAACTATCTAGGCTTTGTTCATTCTACCACTGTGAACTCCACGTAGTTACTAGCCGGTACGACAAGCGCAGGTCGGCCTCCGTTATCTTCTGGCTCGCGTACTTTGCCGTCAATGGTAACCACCGTATCTTTATGATCTTGAAAATGACCCCAGTCCCACCAGTCGAGTTGAGCCCCCTTGTAACAGTACCGGAAGGTATCCCCGAGCACCACGCTGTCCGGAAAGTCAGTCACTCGTCGCGTGAACGACCACGACTCACCCGGATTAAGTGCATGGAAGTCATTGTCTTCATTGCGGCCCACATTCTTTGACACGGGGTTTGGAAATCTATACCGATGATGTGTGAAGGATCCCCGTATTTCATAGGGCTGCCACTGGCCGTCTTTTTTCCGGTAGAGCCTAAATCCCTCTTGACGCCAATCGACATCTCTAAAGAGAAAGGTATGAAACACAATGGGTTCTTGGAGAGAGATGTTCGGGGCTGCTTCGTAGGATAGTGTAGCCGTCACCGCATATCGAAGACGACTTGAAGGATCGTAGTCTTTCCGCGACAGTGTAGCAGGTCCAGCAATGCTCAAGGTTAGGATTGGGGCACCACCACGCAACTGGCAGACAGACGCCAGAAGTAGTGGAGGTGAAGGTGGCAACGCGCCCACATCATCAATGTCGCTTTCTTCGTCCAAAATATACAACGACTGTTTCTCCGAGCTGGGAAGGATCAACGGTGGGGATTTGGGGTCTAATTTGCGATTCCGGTACTTCGCCAATGTGCCCCAGTCCCACAGAGGGATTTGTCCGCCTACCCACAGGGTCTGGTAGTAATGCCCAGGTCGGAAGGAGTCGAAGTAGACAGCCGGCAAGGAGACCTTCCAGGAAACGCTGGCGCCTGGAAGCAGTTCTTTGGTGCATGGATGCGATGTCGGTACCTTGCGTGGCTCAAGGGAGCTTTCTGCTAGCAACGACAACCGACTAGGGTTGATCGAGATTGGATGCCAGTCAAAATCGAAAAATCCTACGGGAATCCGCCGAAACAGCATGAAGCTGCCCTGGCCAAATCCATCCTCAATCGGGTCCCAGTGGAAAATGCATGGTCGCCTTTCGGGGTCATCCACTTCGCGAGTGATAGTAAAAGTGATAGGGACCGAGATGTCAACCTCCAAGTCAATATTCGGCTTTGCGTCAAATGTAAGAGAAAGGCGAGGACACCCTGATCTGTTTGGGTTAGATTTGGGTCGAACATGTTTTCTTTTTTCTCACTCAGCGGGCATAGTACCGTCTGTCTGTAGCAGAATATCTTAGATACGAGGAAATAACAGCAGCCATTGTTGCCGGAGCTGGCATTTGCTTGTTGGCTTTTTGGTCTTCTTCTTTTTGTTTCGGTTGTGGGAGGGAGTGCTAGGGAGAAATAGGTACCGTCAACCATTTGCCAGTTATCGGCCTGCAAGGTGACCGTGACCTGCCGCCACTCGGCCATTGGCTGACATATGCGTGTATGAAATAACTAATCAATCAATCAATCAATCACTCAATTAGGGAGAAATAGGGAGAAATACGGTAGGGAGAAAGGCTTCTCAGGGTCCACGGCAAGTCCGGTATGATTTCCCATATAGGCTAGTATAGGGTGTTCATTTGAAATCATTGATAAAATCTTCAAAGGCGGAGGCATTGGTAGAGCCCTGCCAGATACAGGACAAGATATTCTAGTCCTTTGCATACGGGGATATATGACGAGTCTGTTCCAGTATTGACCATTTGTCTGCAAAGCACAAAGTACTGAGCACTCTGCCGGTCCACACGCGCTGACCAGATGTGCTGACAAGCCCCATTTGCCTACAGTCGCAGCGCAGTGATTCTCCGGCCAAGATGACCATTTCCAAGGTGTGCAATCTTATGGGTTCTTGAAGCGCAGGAACGAAGGGCTGAGATGGGTAAATTTGACAACATACTTGTCGGCCAAAGCGATGAGACCAATTCTTTGTACAGCTTCTGGCGGACTGAAGAGGCATCCACTAATACTTACTGCTGGGGCCAAACGCATAGGGGTCAGATTTTGAGGGGCTGTTCGGGGTGATTCTCCTGCGGGGGTAGAAGAGGAAAGATGTTGTTAGGAAATCCTCTATTCAAGGCTGAGTGTCTACATAATCTACATAGTATGCCCTTTAGCTAGTATGTGGGTCTGTAGAATACATAGGGATTCTAGGCGATTTCTGGGGTCCCCCGTGGTTGAGACGTTGGGAGTGCCTTGAGCTATCGGCATGAATTGCAACTGTGCTTTACATATGAGTGCCTCTGATAAAGCTCTTACCTGGCCATACTGCTAATGAAGATATAGCAACTGAATCTGTAGCAGCGGGGTGGGTGTGAACCGAAGAATTATTGGGCAGAAGTGGTGAGGAGGACTACTGCAGTAGAAGCCGGCCAGCCAGGGCTGGACCCAAACAAAAGCTTCCGCTCCATCGTCACGGAAGCTTCGAAGAAGATTACATAAACCCAGCAAGCATCTCCCCGCAAACGCCGACGGGGCAATCGGTGATCTCATCCAAACCCCAGTAAATTAATTCTGGCATTGCATCTTTTCATACAGCTACACCCTTCCCAAAACAAAACAATCCGATAAGCTGCCGCATACTAGCTACTTACAGTCGCGTTGCAGAGCGGGCTTCAGCACACACATCCGCAAATGGCGTCACCCTCCTCGAACGACGCCGCCTCGAACCCGGCGCCATTCGCCAATTTCCCGCAAGACCCCTCCGAATTCGACAGCGACCCGCGCATCTCGTTCTCGAAACTCGACGATAAGTTCATCCTGGAGACTGACGACGGTCAAGAATATGAATACGACACCGCCTTGAAGCGGTGGATCCCGACGGTGTGTAGCGCGCTCTCTCCATCTGTCTCTCTTCGGCCTTGGTCGGCAGTGACCTGTGCTCTGTTCCTCCCGGGCTGTTGAAATTCCCTTCTCTCCCCTTCGGTTTTGCTGCTCCGGCGATCCGGAGCACTCTTTTTCATCCATGGAGAAACCGGTTCGCATGTGTGTGAAAAACAAGCCGGGAAAAGGGGGCTACTTTTTTCTGCCTGGTGTATGGTTGGTTCGTGAAAACTGATTTTTTCGCTTGGGTGGTGGTGGGTGTTGTTCTCTCCAGGTCGACGATGACTTGCTCCAGAAACAGCAAGAAGCCTACAAAGTACACGGCGTGGATGAGGATGAACAGGTGACGGCGTCGCAATTGAAGAAGAAGCGCAAGCAGCAGGGCAATGGTGAGGAGGTCAGTTTGCACTACTACCTGTCAACCTTTGTTGTCTACAGGGTTCCAAAGCCAGCAACGCTAAACAAGCTCTGAGTTTTCTATCGGTGCAGCGCAATGGACAGAAACCGAAGAAACAGCGCGTCAACACGGCCGTCTTCGTGACGTCAATCCCCCTCGATGCCACCTTCGACGAGATCCGCGACCTCTTCTCCAAGTGCGGCGTGATTGCGGAGGAGATCGACAGCGGCCGCCCGCGCATCAAGATGTACAACGACGACGACGGGAAGTTCAAGGGCGAGGCGCTCGTGGTCTACTTCCGGCCGGAGTCGGTGAACCTGGCCATTCAGATGCTGGACGACTCGGACTTCCGGCTGGGCGTGACGGGCCCGCAGGGGGCGATGCGCGTGCAGGCGGCGGATTTCTCCTTCAAGAGCCAACAGGAGGCCCCGACGAAGACGAGCATGCGCGATAAGCGGAAGATCATTCAGCGGACGCAGAAACTTAACAAGTAAGGAGATTCCCTCAAATGGTGGGGGAGGTTGTCGATAGATGATGATGATGATGATGATGATGATGATGATGATGATGATGATGATGATGATGATGATGATGATACTGATTTATCGACTGATAGTAAACTTGCCGATTGGGACGATGACGATCCGTCGGCTCTTCCAGATACAAGCTCACGCTTTGAGAAGATTGTCATTCTGAAACATATGTTCACTCTGAAAGAATTAGATGTACGAAATCCGTTCTCGTGCTGCGATATCCATGAAAAGGTTCTGACTCGTTTTGACAGGAGGACCCTGCCGCTATACTCGACATCAAGGAAGATATCCGCGATGAATGCTCGAAGCTCGGGGAGATTACGAATGTTGTTCTCTACGATAAGGAGCCGGAGGGGATCGTGAGCGTCCGCTTCCAGGATCCGGAGGCGGCTCGCAACTGTGTCCAGGTGGGTTGCATTCGCCTGATATTTACTTCCCTTAATCAAATGGTACATACTAACAGTTCATGTCGCCCAGATGATGGATGGGCGCTATTTTGCTGGCACGCGAGTGGAAGCATACATCTCCGATGGGAAAGAGAAGTTCAAGAAGACCAATGAGAAGCGGGCAGCGCTGGAAGATCTGGCCGAGAAAGGGTTGGATGCCGAAGATTCGGAGGAAGAGCAGCGCTTGGATGAATTTGGCACGTGGTTGGAAAGCTCTCACACGGTGGAGAATACTGCCAAGTGAGAGCAGCGGCGGCAGCAGGAACAGCAGCAGCGATATGGAGAGACATCTATTTTCAGGTATCATGGATAGCAAGCAGATCCGAATCCCCAACGGGCAATTTGCTGAACTATGTGGGCAAGGGACTGTGATTTCCCATAGTCACATTCAACCTTGATTAAGAACATGTGTACTATAGCAAAAGAAATATTCAAAGAAGTAATGACCTCATGCAGCGGGGGGAACAAAGAAGCACCAAATCCATAACCACAACAAAACACATGCCATGAACCAGAGGCTCAGTAGATCAAAGTTCGGTTCGCGTGTGTTGGTTGCGAGCCTGACTTCTGAGGCATTCATTCAGCCTTCCAACGAATCCCGTGCTGGCTAACTAACACGCCAAGCCCGATCGGGCTGAGTACTTTCCTTCTTGGGATTTTCCCCTTAATTTCTGGGCTGCCGGAAGAAAACAATCAAGCCACGGTTCAAGGTTTGTGTTCACTACTGTTGACTTTTTTGTTGTTGATCGGGGGGTACTCAGGTAACAGTCCACTGCTACTGCACCACTAACTCTCCCTAAACAACCCCCCCCTTCTCCCCCCCACCACCCTTCACCGCTCTCCTTCTCTACCCAAACTCTCCGAACTAACCCAATTCCTCGTTTTCTCCCTTCCTCCTCCTTCCACTTCGACTGTCTTCCCCAGTCTCCTCCACCTAATCCAATCCCTACATTCCTCCATTCTTCTCCGGCATCTGTCAACCCACTTTTCCCCCTCATCGACTTCAATCACCTTTCACAATGCGCGAAATTGTATGTGTTCTACCCCTCTCCGTTGTTGTCCGCCACGGGAGACGCGTCGTATAGACTTCACTCCCCTGATGCGCCCCCACCAGTTGTTCAATATCAGGATTATGCGGCTAACCTAGTCTTTTTCCACCCAACAGGTTCACCTCCAGACCGGTCAGTGTGTAAGTGAATTCGTGCTGGGACACACAACCTTTGTGGTTCGGTATATTTATACAGTGGACTAAAACATGGGGGCTGGTAACAGGGTAACCAAATTGGTGCCGCTTTCTGGTATGTCTCTCTACTCGAGTGGACGGAGGACATGACATGCTCTGAAGTCTCTCACTCAGAGTCAAGAACATTACTGTCAAAGCTTTTCTGTGGTCAATTGAGCTAACAGTCTTCCAGGCAGACCATCTCTGGTGAGCACGGCCTCGATGGCGCCGGTGTGTAAGTGCAGACTTCCCGGGCGGCAGGACCAGCGGGTCGTGGAGAATGGGGAAGGATATTAATGGAAAGGACAGTTACAATGGCTCCTCCGACCTCCAGCTGGAGCGCATGAACGTCTACTTCAACGAGGTTCGTCTTCGAGTCTTCCCTCCGGCTTTCCCGCATCAGCTCCTGACTGCTTCACCAGGCTAGCGGCAACAAGTATGTTCCCCGTGCCGTCCTCGTCGACCTCGAGCCCGGTACCATGGACGCCGTCCGTGCCGGTCCTTTCGGCCAGCTTTTCCGCCCCGACAACTTCGTCTTCGGCCAATCCGGTGCTGGTAACAACTGGGCCAAGGGCCATTACACTGAGGGTGCCGAGCTTGTCGACCAGGTTATCGATGTTGTCCGTCGCGAGGCTGAGGGCTGCGACTGCCTTCAGGGTTTCCAGATCACCCACTCCCTCGGTGGTGGTACCGGTGCCGGTATGGGTACTCTCTTGATCTCCAAGATCCGTGAGGAGTTCCCCGACCGTATGATGGCCACTTTCTCCGTCGTTCCCTCCCCGAAGGTCTCCGACACTGTTGTTGAGCCGTACAACGCCACCCTCTCCGTCCACCAGCTTGTTGAGCACTCCGACGAGACCTTCTGTATCGATAACGAGGTATGTTCTGGAGGATATGGCCTAACTGGGTGACACCGCCGGTATGGTTGAAAGGCGCATAAACTGACCGGATGATTGATGTAGGCTCTGTACGACATCTGCATGCGTACCCTCAAGCTCTCCAATCCCTCCTACGGCGACCTGAACCATCTGGTCTCCGCCGTCATGTCCGGTGTGACCACCTGTCTTCGTTTCCCTGGTCAGCTTAACTCCGACCTCCGCAAGCTGGCTGTCAACATGGTTCCTTTCCCTCGTCTCCACTTCTTCATGGTCGGCTTCGCTCCTCTGACCAGCCGTGGCGCTCACTCTTTCCGCGCCGTCTCCGTTCCTGAGTTGACCCAGCAGATGTTCGACCCTAAGAACATGATGGCTGCTTCGGACTTCCGCAACGGCCGTTACCTCACCTGCTCCGCCATCTTGTACGCTGCCCGTATCCTATTGCGTCATGACTTTCGTACTGACTGAATCTAGCCGTGGACGTGTTTCCATGAAGGAGGTTGAGGATCAGATGCGCAACATCCAGAGCAAGAACCAGACCTACTTCGTCGAGTGGATCCCCAACAACATCCAGACTGCTCTCTGCTCTATCCCTCCCCGTGGCCTTAAGATGTCCTCTACCTTCATCGGTAACTCGACCTCTATCCAGGAGCTCTTCAAGCGTGTGGGTGATCAGTTTACTGCTATGTTCCGTCGCAAGGCTTTCTTGCACTGGTACACTGGTGAGGGCATGGACGAGATGGAGTTCACTGAGGCCGAGAGCAACATGAACGATCTCGTCTCCGAGTACCAGCAGTATCAGGACGCCTCCATTTCCGAGGGCGAGGAGGAATAGTGAGTTTCCCGACTGTCGCGCCGGAAATATAGTCGCTAACTCTGTCACAGCCCCGAGGAGGAGATCCTTGATGAGCAGGAGTAAACTTTTGGCCGTCAAGAATGACGCAAAGCGGGACACGCGCTCTCTAATACCCTTGATAAGCTTACATTCTCAAAGGACGTTGGCTCGTTGTACCGGTCATTGTCGGTGAACTATTTCGTTTGAGCGCCTTTAATTTTCCCCTTCCTGTTTTTTTTAATTACCTAGGCCGATGGAAGCCTGAAACCATCCAAATCAATAGCACATAGTTCGAAGCAATTTATAGTCTATTGCTTGATATGCAGCGTAGATGAGCCGCTTCTGCTCGCCTATGGGTTTTCTGCGGTGATAGCACCCGGGCTTTGAACTTGTAGGACCACGTAATGTCTATTGAGACATTGGAAGGAGTAGATAATACTGGGTCAGGGCTAAGCGGTTGGCACAGAGTGGCTTGTACTTTACCCACAGGAGGTGAAGCAGTACAGGTGATGTAAGTCACGTGACTTTCTTTCGGCAAACAAGCATCGAGTTGGATATACTTAAAGTCCTCACCAATCAGCACGCTGCTATATGCTGCCGGCGCTAAGCGGAGCGCTCCAGGCTTCAAGGTTCTTAACTCCCTACCGGGGCCTTTAGACTAGCTACTAACTAGCTGGATGCAGGTATCGTACAGGTACCGTACAGCAATGTACTCCCTATTATGAGTATACGATTCACCTGCTAGCGCCCCCCCGCCCCCCCCCCCAACCACTGCAGCTCTTCCAAGCGAGGCTAAGTGATGTATATCTTTTGGCTATATACATAAAACCCTTCCGGTGCTACTCCGATGACAGTTGGTACTGGATTGAGGGATTGGGGAAGATTTGGAGGTAGGTGTGGCTTCCTGTTTAGCTTTTCCTGGATCGTTTTGGTGTGCGGGTGGTGGTAGGATGCCAGTTCTGGGGTCACTTTGAAAAGGCACCCAAGTGTTCACCTTACTGGAGAGAATTTTGTATACATGACGCCACCAGGTGGGGTCATCAGTGCAGCGAACGCTGCGTGGAACTTTTCTTCCATCTCGGCGATAAAAAGATGATGCACTTTTTGCTGTGACTCATACAGCTATCAGATCATTGGAAAAGGGGATATGAAGTGAAGAGGGCTGAGGCTTTCATATACGAAACACGTCAGGGCATTTGCAGTTTTGCTCGAGGGTGTGTGAGTGACCGGGATGGAACAATATGATTGGTTTTGATGATCCTTCTTCATTCAGTTACTTTTTCTTTCCGAGAAACATCGAATCGATAACCAGTCACATTAGGTAAGAAAGTCAAATAGAGGAAGCCTTGAAAGGGGGAATAGAACCAAGAAAAGAAAAGTATATACATATTCAAAATAAAAGAGGGGGATATCAAAGTGGTAGAGACCTGAGGAAAAGAAAAGGAAAAGGGATATAGTCCAGAAAAAAAGGAAAGATTATGTGGAGTGGTGGTTTCACCCTGTCCGAGAAGTAAATGGTCCAGTCACTTTACGCCTTCAGTTCTACCGACTCCTCGTTGCCGGCGGGCGTGATGCTGCGCTTGGAGGAGCTCTCGGCGTGCTCGGGGCTGGTGCCGGCGATGACGTCGCGGGTGATTTCGACATAGTCGTACTGTTTTCCAAAGGGTTAGCTTTTTTTGCTCATCAATATATAGGGGGTTCAAAGTTGGGGAGGCATACGGCAAATTCACCGATCTCGGCGTCATCAGTACCCAAGATTTCATCTTCTTCGGAGATGCGCAGGTGGAGACCAGGGATCAGGTTGATCAGGAAAAGAATGATGCAGCTGCCGAAGAAGGAGTAGGCCATGCCGGAGACGGAGTCGGCGAGCTGGTAGCCGAGCTGGACGTAGTTGTGGTTGATCCATCCACCGTCGATGACGGTGGAGCCATCGAGATGAGCAATGTAGTCACTGAAGCAAAGTTAGTGAAGTGCTTGCAGAGATATGGGAAGGGACATACGCGGCAAAGATTCCGGTCAAAAGGTTGCCAACAAGGCCACCAATACCGTGGACAGCGAAGATGTCAAGACTGTCATCAATTTGGATCACATATTTCAGCTTGGTGGCATAGTTGCAGGCAACAGCACCGACCACGCCGAAAATGAAGGCCGCCCAAGGTGTGACAAAGCCAGAGCCTGGAGTGATGGCAACCAAACCGGCAATGGCACCGGAACAGAATCCAACCATAGACCATTTCCTCTCAAGTCGGTAGTCCAGGAGACACCAAGTGACACCACCCACCGATGCAGCAAGGTTGGTGACAACGGCCGCCATCACGGCACGCAGGTTGGCAGCCAGAGCGGAGCCTGCATTGAAACCGAACCATCCAACCCAGAGGAAGACCGTGCCGATGACAACATGGGTGACATTGTGAGGGCGGTAGTTGAGCTCGTGCGTTCCATGACCACGACGCTTTCCGAGCATGAGAGAGTAGGCAAGAGCGGCAGAGCCGGAGGCGATGTGGACAGGAGTGCCACCGGCGAAGTCGAGACCTCCTAGCTTGAACACCCAACCGGACGCGTTCCATGTCCAGCAGGCGAGGGGATCGTAGATGATGGTGGTCCAGACAAAGCTGAAGACCATGCAAGGAAGCATGCGACCGCGCTCAGCAACGGCACCGACTGCAAGGGCCACCCTAGTTTCATCCTGTCAGATATGCAGGTTTGTCATGGATCGTAGCAAAGGTATACTCACGTAATAGCTGCGAACATTCCCTGGAAGACGGCGAACAGAAGATCCGGAACTTTAGTGCTGCCCACGGAAGGAGCTCCCAGCACACCCTTCATACCGAAATTCTGCAAGTCTCCAATATAACTTCCGGCAGTGTGGGAGAAGGCTAGCGAATATCCCCAGAAGAACCATTGGAAAGATACCACCCCGACCGACATTATCGAGAGCCAGATCAGCGACAGAGCTGACTTGCGGCGAGCAAGACCGGAATAGAAGAAGCTGGTAGGGTTAGCTCTGGAGTTAATATATTGAACACTAGGAATGGTCCCATACCCGACACCCGGAATCATCAATAGCACCAGGGCAGTGGAGGTAATCACCCAAGCAATGTCCCCGGACTGATAACAGTTAGCAAAGGCTAAGTACAAAGCGCCTGAGGAGCTTACACTGTAATAGATGTTGAGGTCTTCCGTCAGGGAATCACCACCCGTTGCACCCGTGCCATTGTAGGCAACGGGATACGCCGACATCGTGAATCTCACAAGATGCACGGAACTTGTTACAGGATCGAAGAGAAAGAACTGTGGGTTGCAGCCCGTCTACCACAGCTTGGCAAGAGGTTAAAGTATTATCGAGCGCGCAGGCGGTACCCAAGCGTAGGGGGTCTCGAAGGCAATGGAAGGAACAGGCACGTATTAGACCGACAGCAAGGAAAGCGAGTTGGGGAAAGTCCGGGCACTGATCGATGAATAATTGGATCTGAGCTGTTACCAATTTAGGACGACTGGGTTGCTGATCAATAATAGAAAGAAAAGTTTAGATTTCAAATATAGTCGAGAGAAAAAGAGAGGTCAGATCAGGGGGAGATGCAGGAGTGATAAATAGTGGTGATGATAGTCGGCGGCCGGAGATATTACCAGTCAGATGAAAAGCGCCATCGTCTCACTTGCTTCGAACCCTGGAAGGGCTCCACATCATCGGAGCCATCCTGGGGGTGTTCTCTTTCTTGGCGACAGGATTAGTTTGGTCTTAATACGATGCGATATCTACTGATAGATATCGGAGGACTGGCCATGGCGGCGGATCCAGACGGGTGGAGTTGCTGGAAGGAGCCATCACGGACCAATGTTATTTCTCACATTGATTGACTTGGCAGTATTCCTCTGACCTGCAGCTGGCTGGAATGACTCTTTTTCATTTTCCGATCTGTCGAGAACGTGGATGCGCATGTTGGGAGTAGAGTTCCACGGCATTGGCTTGTTCATCGTGCATGGACGCCTAATCCATCAGCCATGGCTGATGGCTGCATATCGGTTACATGTCGGAAGCGGCAAACAGGCCGGTAGACTCGGAGTGATAGCAGTAGGTATGCTTCGTGATGCGAAACTCAAACGCGGAGGGAGATTAGGGATTTCATTGACAGAAGAGGGTCAATAATGCAAATGCGCGGAAGTATGGATAAGGAGAGAAGTCTATTCAGCCCGGGAGAAATCCTTCCGTTCAGGCAGCATCGGGACTGGCTGGAGATAGTCATCCATGTGTCTTATCAGTGGTAAATTAAGAGTTAGTCAGGTAGACAATTGTATGTACAGGTAGTAAGGGGTCAAAGAGAGTTCCTTATCTCCCGCCAGATACGTAGGTACTGTATGCGATTGAACTGACAGGGCTGATTCTTGGATTCTGGCGGACTTGCCATCCTTCGTGAAGCTCCATCGGGAGGCGCAGTAATGACCACGAGGTTTTTCCAAACCTTGCAGATCTGCCCCACTGACGTTCAGAACTGTAGTTGTACTGTAGGTCGGAGTACAATTGAATGAGTTGGTTGGAATGGGGAGGGAGTCTGGTGGTTGTTCCTAAACCTTCCGAGAATGAAGATGGAACTCCTTATCTTCCTCCGTCGTGGCAGCCAATCACCATCGGCTCGGGTGGAAGTCTTATCTACCGTACAATCTACAAGGCTGTTGATTACGAACGAACCAAACTACCTCCTATTGAACTTATTATCACTCGACCTGCTCGTCCTTGCCTTGACTCAGTCACCATTGATGACGCCAAGAAACCAATTACTTTAGTTCGCTATATCCGACACCGCAAATATGTTGATACTGCTTATGCAGCTCCCGAGTTCCATCTACAAGTATAGCTACAGCATCAATGTTCCCCATGGGGTCCGTTCATCTGCGAAAGCTTGATACGCCACTCCGTACGAGTAGGAATACATACTCAACTCTATCAGAGTGGAAGCGCTCCAATATTGTCGCAATCCGATGATCACACAGAGCCCGACACGATCGCTTCGGCCGCTTCCAGCGCAACCGCAAACCGAGCCTTGAGATCCTCCACAATCTCGACCCCGAAACTAACGCGCAGCAAATCGGCCGGCACGCCGAACCCCGCGGCCCACCCAAGCCCCAATAGTACGCGAGAAGAACTTAAGGCGACGTCAAGGTGAACTTCGTGCCGAGACTCGGCCCTTTGGCCGTCTCGATGCGATCTAAGAATGCCACCGTATGTTTCTTCGGGTGAAACGTGAAAGACAGCAAATCTCCATACCCGCCCGTGGGGGTTCGACACTTATCATAGAAACGTTTCGTCGGACTATACTTGGGGTAACCGACGTCCTTGACTAGCGGATGGGCTTGCAAAATTAGGCAGATGGCCTCAGCATTGTCGTTATTATCCTGATGTGCGCCACGAAGTCCCGGCTATTGCGCTCCATGAACAAAACGTCCTCGACCCAATAATTGTTTTCCTCAAAATCCGCATCAAACGCCCCTTCAGTGGGAGATAATACCGGCTTTCGGGGTCCAGGATAACGCTACCACCCATCACGTTACAGTCGCCTGTGAATATCTTCGTGAGACTGTTGACCACCACGTCGGCAGGGGGCAGGAGCTGGACATGGACCGAGTTGCCATTTGTCTCGTCTACCACCACGGCAAAGTCGTACATGTCGGTCAATTCGCTGACGCGCCGGAGACCGGGGCTCTTCAACATTGGATTTCCGGGGATTTCGCACAAGAAGGCCAGGTACCGTTCGCCAGCCTGCAGGCGGGCTTCTAGGCCGTCCAGCCCATCCAGCCTGTCCGAGGAGCCATGCCAGATTTCCAAGGTGTCGACATATGGGAAACCAAACGAGATACTCTTCCGTTGGCCTCGGACCGCGAACAGCATCCGTTGCGTATTGAAAATGATACTCATGCCGCACGGGTATAGGTAAACGTCGTCGTCGGACACTCCGGTCACTCCCTGTGAATTGGCTTGTGAGCTCGATTGTTTGACTGCAGCTGTAGATGAAAGATCCACTTTCGTCTACCAGGTAGCCTGCTAGGCGTCGACGAATCGCTATTCTGGCGTTTGTCGACAAATGAGAGATCTAAGTTTCGTCCAAACCGCTCTTCCAGGGACTGCGTGCTTTCTCGGTTCTCGGGTACGGCCTTGTGCTGGTTATCGAGTCCGACATTTTTTGATCCGGTAGTAACTTTTTTTCTGCTTCGGGAGCATCTTGCGATGATCTGTGGCGGAATCTCTTTGATACCTCTTGGGCGTCTTTTGTGATTCACTGTTGGCTGCGACTGTTTCGCGTTTGTGATGCCGGTGCGGTAATTGCACAATCTGTCACTAGCATACCCTCCACAAAAAACGACGTGACGATCTGCCTGTCGAACTGAGATCCCATCTCCAGAATGTTGCCAATACTGTTTAGCGATTGGGAGCAGATCCTACTGGAATATGACGGCGGATATTGAGGGCGACACTTTCTTAGTCATGGCGATCGGTTAAGTCGCTGAATTCTTATTTAGAGACAAATCAATTGTCTTGACATTTCCAACCAGTACCTCCTTCGCCGCTTCTGCCTTGATAGTGATAATGAAGTCACGGCATCTTTCAGCAGCTTCGCGGGATGGGAACAACATCGCCTTTATATTGGCGGTTCTGGTTAAAGCAGCATCTGGTCACGATGTCAATTGCAAATGCAGCAATGAGTTTGTGGATATAGGCTCATGGTCAGCCATTGAAGACTCTGTCCAACACGTACTTAGCACCTTCCTCATAATCAGTGTCAGCCGTCCATGTTGGGAGAAACATGCTCACAGCATGAGTTGTGAGGGAAGGAAATGAGTCGCCCAGGTCTATCGTTGACGACATTATTCGATACAATGAAGGTAAAGCTGATAGAGTCCGAAGTCAAGATGCAACTGAGAGCAGCCAAGTATTGTATGTGTTGATTCAAGCTTATCAAAGCTTTTCGATATGCAGGCTTCAATTTTTTGGATAGACTACAAGAGCACAATTTGCCCGTCTTTTGTGCGCAGATGAGAAAGTGAGAGGTTAAATACTCTGGGAAGATAATGACTGTAAGCAGTAAGCATGTACCAGGCCCCTGAGTTATTCATCATATCTATTCTCTTCATAATGCTTTCGCTCTCGCATTGTTCTCCCACTTCTCGGCCTGCTGTCCGACCTGACAGGTCAATCAACGTGATGCTTGCGAGTAAAAGGGCTTCAGGCCGACTCAATTTGTGCTTGTAGGGTAAGGCTCTCTTTTCTACCCGGTTATTGCATGGTGGGATATGACTTGAAGCATCAAGTAGGCCGTCCTTCGACAAACATTCGAAATTATCTCGCTTCCTTGGAGCCGTGACTTTACCGACAATCGGGTTTAAACAGACTTATTCGTCACATCATTCGATACTCTTGGCTTTATCACCGAAATCCTTGTTGCTTTATAGCCTACTGAGGGTGTTGCATAGGGCAACCTGCCTCAAGCCCGCAGCGCTATCTTCCCAACAAACTGTTCCCCAACCACTGGATTAATTGACCTGAAACGAGACTCATACTTGCTTTTCTGTACGTACTTGGAGAAGTTCCTTTTGCGCCCTAGCACTGGATATGTAAGGATAGTTGTGTGTCGCCGTGGAACCCAAGACGGCGCGCATAACGTCACCATTGCTGGGAAGATCGGCCAGCGCTCTGAAGATGAAAGTACTCATTCTTCCCTGCGCAGGGGCATTGACAATGCACTTGGGCTTCTCTATCAACTGCAGCTCGGGCTTTCTGATCTGATGCACTAATGCACGCCCCTCGCAGTTCATGCGTATGGTGGGTTGATCAATACCAATATGGAAATTGAGAGACAGCCGTCTATTTCCTCGAATGCAGATCATCGAAGGATCATCGGGATCACATAGCACGCGCCAGTGTTGATCTTCCGGCATTAACTAGAATGAGCGCTGATGTGGACAACGGGATCTGGTATCATGGCATGGCAAATAATTTAAAGTATACAAAGTACTCCGCAAACCCCGTAGTAGTGTCATTCGTACAGTACACTCGCTGCTCCACACTGGCGCTTCGCTTGTGAAGTTTCTGATTAGGCTTCAGAACCTGGAGCCAATGTCATGAGAGTGATATAGTGACACCGCAAACCGCGCGTCCTATCCAAATCTTGAAAGTTGATTTACTCCGTACATTGTTTTCAGTGATTGCATGGAACGAAGGTGGACAAGTCACAGGAAGATTGGTGTGGCGGTAATGTGCTTAGTCATGGGCGGTGGGCAGTCCTTGATTTCGCTTCTAAATGAAGCTCTCTTGATTCTCCCTCCGAACAGCGTCTCCGACGTCGCTGAGTCATTGGCATTGAGTGCTATATCACACTTCTTATCGCGCTGAATACTGATTGCTCGACTGAAATTGATCACTTTTGCTCAGACCACCCGGCTGAAGACGCAGACGCGTTTGCCAGGGATTTTTTGACAGGCCTAGCAGCAGAAGCATGCACCGCCACAGCCCCTATCTATCCGCTTGAGGCTTTCCCTTCCAACCCGCTCTCTAGCACTGGCCATGCGAGATGGAGTCCCAACAAGACCGTGGGTTCCAGATCATGGAGCATCCTGATATGAACAATCATGACTCGGATGGCTCCGGTTCCTCCGATGAGCTGCTGCAACAGCCCTTCTCACTCCGGTCGGACTCCAGCTTCACGGAGAATTTCGACGGCCAGATCCCAACCCCCGCGTCGACCATCGCCAACTCTCCAACCCCATCCCTCCCCAGCGGTATCCCTTCATGGGTCACGGGCACACCATCACGCCCGCGGGGTGCGAGCGTTGGTGCCTCCGCTCTCGAAAAAGCACAACCTGTAGACGGTCTGCCAGGTGACTTGAGGTCGCAACGCCCGTCCGGCCCCGCTCGGACACCCTCCAACACCTACGCCCCTCAGCGCCGCCCGCCCCAATACATCAGCTTCCAGAATGACCGTCAGAGATCCTCGTCAACGAAGCGAACCCCCCGCAGGGACCCGAACGCCCAGTATCGAGCGCAGGAGAAGGCGTATGTCCAGCGCATCCGGGCCGACCCACAGGCATGGTACAACCATTTCGACGAAGCTCAGAATATGAGCCCGGGAATCGGTGACTCGGACCTGGAGGAACCCTCGCCGTCGTCAGAAGTTCCCTTCGAAGATGATGCCTACGACCCTGACATTCAACTTTTCCTCAATGACGATAACCTGCCGACGATCGATGAGCTGAAGAACCCGAGAAATCAGGAAAGGCTGGAGTGGCACTCCATGTTGTCTTCTGTCTTGAAGGGAGATGTCGTCAAGCAAGAGAAACAACGTCTTCTAGGGTCTACGGACTCCAAACGGTCTTCCGCCCAGAATAATGCGATATGGCTGGGTGTTAGGGCAAGAACGTGCGGGCGCAGTGTCGCTCTGCAGCGGAAGCTGATCGAAGAGGCCCGGAGTGGACTGGGACCTATCATTGAAGAAATCATCAAGTTTGAGATCAAAGGTGAGACGGAGATTGGGAAGCCTCCCATTCAACAGGTCGAGGACATTGTGGGACAGATCGAGAGATGTGAAAGCTTGTATTCCACTCACAAAGAGCTGGAAAGCGCCCACCCCCGCATCGCTTCAGATGAGTTCCGATCGAGTCGTGATGCTGTTCTTGCCTGGCACAATACAACGATCTTGATCAACACTGAACTTGCCATTCTGCAGAAGTGGGTTGGCAACGACGAGCTTGACTTCAGCAAGCCAAGGACAAAGTCAATCAACAGTGATCTTACAGACGAATCCTCCTTCTTGGACCGGATCATGAAGGAAGACGGGCTGAGAACGCTCCAGGGGAGACAGAACATGCTCAACGGTGTGGGCGAAGTGATTCAGAAGGCGAAGAACACCTTGATTGAAAATGCCAGCTCGTTTGCCAAGCGTCATCTGCCGCCCTATATCGAGGAATTACTTACCTTGATCAACTTCCCATCGCGTCTCATCCAAGAAATTATCCGCATGCGACTTTCCTATGCAAAGAACATGAAAGATCCTGCTCAGCAGTCCCCAATCTTGGTGGATCAGATGCTTTCACAGTTCCAGATCTTGATGAAAGTAGCGGTGGACATCAAGCAACGATATATGGATATCGCCAGGCCTGAGCCCGGCTGGGACTTGCCCCCTTGTATCGATGAGAATTTCGACTCGGTCGTCCTGGACGCCATGAAGTACTACTTCCGACTCCTCAATTGGAAGCTGAATGCAAACAAGAACACATTCAAGGAAGCGGAGATTCTGGAACAGGATTGGGAATTCTCCAATGAGGTTGGACGTCAACTTGATGGGGGTGACATTGAGGTTGCTGAGCAATATAGGTACGGGATCTCTCAAGCCACGATGTGCATGTTTGCTAACTTATGGTCAGTGCCCTGACTGCAAAGTCTCTTCAACGCTTGATGATTCATTTCGAACGAGAATTGGCGATACGTCCGAATGAGGATCCCCTCGACATGGATAAGCGGTATAAGAGCGTTCTCGATTCTACACGTATTCGCCAACGGAAGCTCTATCGTTTCTCCCGCTTCTTGCGCCAATTGTTTGAAAATGCAACGGAGTACAATTTGCCAGCTGACATTGCCTATGACTTCCTGGAAGCGCTCCTCGTATCGGACCATTTCATTATCAAGTCTAACTCCACCACGGGCCAGAAGAATGTCTATCTCTTTGCGCATCCTGCTTTGTGGGGTCGGCCCGCAGATCTACAAGCAATCATGGGCACATCCTTCCGTGATGAAGATGCTTCGAAAGACTCCCCTCACGCGCCCTATATTTTGGTCATTCGTCCAGAGAAGCCATTGGCTTGGGCTGGCAAAGAGATGCAGCTTGAAACCATGGAACACCCCACAGACTTGCGATTAGGGAAATTGCGCCTCGTTGTTGAGGGCACTCAGCAGCGCCTGGCTAATGCTCGGGCTGAATTGGCGCATCTTACTGGAACGCATCTCGACATGGCCATTGAGCAACGGGCCAATCTTGGTCGCGTCAATGTGGAACTGAATAAGATCAAGAAGATCTCATTCAAGCTGTCCATGACAATTATGGATAGCGTTGCAATTATCCGAAATCAGCTGAGAGAGAAGGGAGTAGAGAATCATGACCTGGTACAAGCATGCTATGCTTTCGCCACGGAATTCGGAAAGCGTTCTTCGAATGTTGATCCTAACAGACGCGCTATGAATAGTGCGAGACTTGTGGATTTGTCTCTTGACTGGGTCTCCTTCGTTTGCGACGATTGTGATGCTGCTGATCGAAAGACCTTCAAGTGGGCTGTCTCTGCCCTTGAATTCGCCATGGCTATTACCTCCAGCAGACATCTACTTTCCATGGACGACGCGCAGTTTGCTCGTCTACGACAGAAAGTGGCGGGGTGTATGTCACTCCTCATATCTCACTTCGATATCATGGGCGCTCGGTCTTCTCGTGCAGCTCAGGCAGAGAAGCAGCGCTTGGAAGAGCGCGCCGGCTCTAGAAGAATGGCCGCAGGCCGAGTTTTGACGGATGAAGAAGCGACCAAGCTTGTGCGAGAACAGCGTCTGGCTCACTTGATCGAGATTGAAGATCGGCGAGTCGATGAAGATGCGAAGCGTCAGGCACTCGGAAGAGTCCTGGAGGGTTCCAATGAGGCTGATAGATCTCTTACCGTGCTCTCGTCTTCGGCTACGAATGTCACTCTGCGCTGGCAGCAGGGTCAGTTCATTGGAGGCGGAACGTTCGGATCCGTCTATGCTGCAATCAACCTCGACAGCAACTACCTCATGGCTGTCAAGGAGATCCGGTTACAGGATCCCCAGCTCATTCCTAAGATTGCCCAACA